CTCAGGTTTTGGACTTGGACTTAATCCCTGCTTTTCTTAGCGTCTTTTATGAAACAGCCCCCTGATCTATTTCTTATTGTTTTTTTGTGGATTCTTTTTCTCCAGGAAGTATCCAGATCACCTTCACTGTCGTTCAGCCCCTAATCGGCCATTTCTCAGGCCCACTGAATCATGGGATCAGGACAGTCTCGCGAGCTCCGTCCACAGCCTGTCGGTCCTGGATAAACCTTTCCAAACAGACAGGTACTGTATAAACCAGCAGTGGCCTGTTGCATGAAGCTAGATAAACAAACTCTGAGTTTCAGAGTAGGTTTAGAGTTGACAAAACCAAATAAATCCAACCTGGTTTAGATCAGGCTCACAAAGCTCGATATAAACAAACTCGGAGTTGATCCAGAGTTTGTGATTAACTGTTAAAAATTAATAGATGTCGTTATTAAAAGTATAAGCTTATATGTAGGATTAAAAATCTACATGCGTCACATTTAATGTCCAACAACAAATATTTTAGCAAAATGTATATTGTGCTCAAAATTATTGCGCTATTATTCTATTGCGCTCCGTCTGTTTTCGTTCACTCCTGACAGCAAAATGGATATATTTGCATGACTTTCCAACATTTATAGATGTAGAATATAACTGTGATGTGTCAGTTATGCACTGAGGAAAACACAACGTCTTGAATGCATTAAACCGCACACATATTCGCTGTTTGCCATGCTGGATCCATTTGATCAACATTAAGGGCTGCTTAAGAATAAGCGTGCACATCAAATGATCTTGACTCACTGGATCGAATTAGTGAGATTGCGTGAACTTAAATAGTCGTTTATGAAACCGCTTTAGTCCCGATTGATTTGTTAGGTTATTTCAACTCAGGTTTTGGACTTGGACTTAATCCCTGCTTTTCTTAGCGTCTTTTATGAAACAGCCCCCTGATCTATTTCTTATTGTTTTTTTGTGGATTATTTTTCTCCAGGAAGTATCCAGATCACCTTCACTGTCGTTCAGCCCCTAATCGGCCATTTCTCAGGCCCACTGAATCATGGGATCAGGACAGTCTCGCGAGCTCCGTCCACAGCCTGTCGGTCCTGGATAAACCTTTCCAAACAGACAGGTACTGTATAAACCAACAGTGGCCTGTTGCATGAAGCTAGATAAACAAACTCTGAGTTTCAGAGTAGGTTTAGAGTTGACAAAACCAAATAAATCCAACCTGGTTTAGATCAGGCTCACAAAGCTCGATATAAACAAACTCGGAGTTGATCCAGAGTTTGTGATTAACTGTTAAAAATTAATAGATGTCGTTATTAAAAGTATAAGAGACCAAATATTGTCCTATCCTAACAAACCATATATCAATGGAAAGATTATTTATTCAGTTTTCATGATATGTATAAATTGCAATTTCAAAAAATTGACCCTTATGACTGGTTTTGTGCTCCAGGGTCACATATGTTAATGTAAAAAATTTTGTGTTTGTTTGTTTGCTGGTTTTTATTGTATTTGTTATACTTATATTTTTTTGAATAGTTTTTGCCATGAAAATAGCCTTTGATGCTGACATGGCATTAAATAAAAATCTACTACTACTCAATTTTCCGTGCCGTTCTGATGTGTTCAGGTCGTGGGAGGCGCGTCTGTCTTCGCTGTACAGTCGATCTAAAGCTCCGGAGCGCCCGGCTCAGGGGTTACCCTGGTTCAGAGATTTCCCTCATGTGGAGTGCCGTCGGGCGGCCGCCACCGCCAAACTCTCGCAGCCCTCCGTGAAGCCAGGGGGCGCTGTGACGTGTTTCGACGTGCCGGACGGAGTGACCGCAGCAGGCCTGAACGTCTCGGAGTTCTCTGCGCTCGTTACGTTCATTTATCCTGGAAACACCAACACGGTTCTGGCTTACTGGGACCTGGAGGGTCAAAGCGTGACGTACCACCGCGCAGACGCCCCCGCCGCCCCCGTCCAGAGATCAGCCGAGGAGCACCTGTGTCTGCTACTGAAGCGTGAGTCTGACCTCTGACCCCATGAGACGAAACATCCACATATCATCTGTTGTGGTTCAGATGCACTGGCTAGAAGGGTGATCGATGATTTCTTTAGTCTAGGTTATATTTTAGCCCAAAATCCAAGAAAATTAAGAACTATGTGCCCCCAAAAGTCTCATTAAACTGACTTAAAAACAAAATGTATTTCAAGCATCGATTAAACATTTGTTTGTATATATTTAAGCATTTATTTACTAATTTTAAGCATTTTGAAATCCAGCATAATCACACATTTATTCAGTAATTTTTAGAATTTATTTATTAATTTAAGCATTTTTTAAACACGCACTTACTTATGGAATTAAGCATTTATTTGAAAGTTTAAGCATTTATTTATGCATGTATGTATTTATTTATGCATTTATTTATGTATGTATTTATTCAACAATCTATTTAGGCTTTCTATTTATTTAAACATTTAGGCATTTATTTAAGCATTTACTTTATTATTTGTGCATTTATTTATTCATTATTTATTTATTGATTATTTATATATTTCATATATTCAAGTTTTTTTTTTTTTTACTGTTTTTATTCCAGAATTTATTTAAACAAGCATTTATGTATTTGTGTATTTAAGCAGTTATTTATTTATTTAAACTTTTTTACATTTTTTATATCATTTATTTGAACATTTAAGCATTCTTTTAAATATTTAAACATTTAAGCAATTTACAATATTGTTATATTTTTTTGTACTGTTTTTTAAAATAATAATAATAATTTGTACTGCAAAGCTAGATTATACATTACATATATATATATATATATATATACTTATATTTTTATTGTTATACAAAATAAAAAGAAATCCCATAATAATAAAAATTACTAATATGGCTTCATATATAAATGCTCTCTTTTTTTTTTTTTTCTTTGTGATTACAAAAATATTGTGGTAGTATTATGGTACAGTGATTGTAATAGCATGGTGCATTGAGCATATATCCTATTACTGCTAATAATGATGGTGTTTATTTATGGTGTTTATCTCCAGGATACTTCAAATAATACCGTGGTGCATGATCCAAAAGCATTGTAATGCTGTGATACTTTTGTTGTTTGTATGCAATGGAATGGTCTTAATAATGTAACTGTGTGTGTGTGTTTGTGTGTGTGTTTTAGCGTCGGGTCTGTCCGTGGTTTTGTTCTGTGTGACGCAGGACGAGCTGTTGAACCGGCTGATGATTTTTGGCACGGCCGGGACGGTCGACTCGCTCTGCCATCTGAACGCCTGGGGACGCTGTTCAATACCCATACATGCCCTACAGGTACATAATCACACTAATTATATCGAGTAACTCTAATATTGTTCATGCAAACTCCGAGAATAAGGCATCAAGGCACTCAAAGCCATTTATTTTCATTGCCGAAGCGAAACCTTTGGCTGCATTGTGTCTGGAATGATATTTTTGCTCTGGTGTGATTTCAGGCCGGCCTGAAGAACCACCAGCTGGATACGGTTGATTTCTTTCTGAAGAGTAAGGAGAACATCCTGAGCCCCGCGTCTGGGTTTGTTCTGCCCGTCTCGACCCAAAGCCATCTGAGGAGTAAGACCGCTTTAATGAGATCCTCTGATCACTAACCACCTTCTCCAGCCGCGGCTTAATTAAAAGTTCTTAAGAAGTGTCCTGTCTGATCTTCTGGGTCATTAATTAAAGGGCAGAAGAAACGGTGTAAATGTGAGGCTGGAGAGCGTCGTTAATGTGCCTCTATTTTAGCTCTTGACCTCATTGGTTGGGTGTCATAAATTGCATCCGAGTTACAAGGAAATATAAATAAACATATTATAAATATAAAACAAAATATATATATTCAAATTTTATATTTTACATAAAATCTATATATACTTAGTTATATAAATATTATTATAATTATCTAAAATTATAGTTA